CTACAGGGAAAATGCAGGCAGTGGAGCCAAAAAAACCTTGGCTTTTGTTCCTTCTTCCAAAGGCTGCTGAGGCTTTTTTAAACCTAGCTTTTTAGAATTTGCATTATTTTTCTGGCATAGAAATATTCTGGTCTTGCAGTATAAAAAACCCACAAATACAATGGTTATGTAATATTCATATCATCCTTGGTTGAAGGTCTATACTTCAATGCACTTTGATTAAGCAGATTGATTAATATAATACTTATATGTAGGTCTGGACTGTAGCTTTGGTCGGAATTTCTCTAGAAATCCAAACACACTTGATCGTATGCTAGAAAATGCCAGTGGTTTTAGGTTAGTCCCTTGGGAAGGTCTAAATAGGTTGTTACACCTTATCATTTACCTGTGTTTCTTTGGCCCACAGGAATACTATGACAAAGGTGACTGCGTTATCCGTGAGGGAGAGGAAGGAAGTACCTTCTTTGTTATATCCAAGGGAAAGGTAAGGTACCTTAAAAATACAGGCACAACCTTATTTGGCCAATGAGCCACGTGTAAAGCTGCATTTTCTCCTGTTTGTTTCCTGAGAGATAAAAGATATTCCATTAAGTCTATGAGAGCATCACAATAGGATATTGATCCTTCTCTTCAAGGCAAGGTGCTATACAGAAGTGACAGGTCAGAATGAGATGTGAGATCATTAGGAATTAATTGGCCAGTGAACATCTGGGTCTCTAAGCTGCCAGACAACATTTGAATTAGTTGTCCAGTCACATGCATACCTCTCCACAGTTATTCTCCTTTTAGCTGTATATCCTCCATCTGTCCATCATTTACTAAAGTCTGCACATGTTTCAGTAATAGTAATGATGGTATCAAAATAAATATCAGCAATCTTGAATAAAGGAACATCTCAGCAGCACTCAAGAACTATTAGGAAATGCACTACCTGGTCTGGAGCAAGAAAGGAAACAGGAGGAAGGAAGTCAGTGACCCAGAGAACCCACTCTGCTGCCTTTAGTTTCCCAGTTGGGAGCAACTAATCTGTGCAAAAAGATTTAAACTGATTTTTTTCCTGACTTCCCTTTTCTGGAATGTGACATTAGCCATTTGAAATCCCTCTGTATGACCTCTTGAATCCAAGCCAGTTTACAAAATTTTCTTTCCCTCCCTCCCTCCTTCCCTCTTTCTCACAATAGTATAAAATAAATATCTAAAAAAATCACCAAAAGCAGCATAATTACCTAAGGGACCGCCTCTCCCCTATGACTTCAACCCATCCCACCTAATCACACAGAGAGGGCATGCTTCGGACCCCCTCAGTAAAAGAACTT